AATGTTTGTTCTAGGTATTGCCTATAAACGTATTTTATCACAGACTACTAGTATGATCACTTCATTACTTTTTAGTGAAGTTTAAAAACCTTACCTTGATTTAGGTTTCTTTATCTCTCCTACTCATAATATAATTATTTTTAAAACTTTTCCTACATATATTTAGAACCACATCATACAGTGCTATATTTTACTTCAGCCATCAAAAATAACTTAGAAAAAACAGGAGAAAAGAAAAATCTATGGTTTTATGAATATTTTTGCTTTTTATATTCTTTCTTCTTTCATGATGTTTCAAGCTTTTGTTTTATCACCTCCTCTCTGTTTAGAGATCTCTTTTTAGTTATTCCCTTAAGACAGGTATGGTGGCAACAAATTTTTCTTAGTGTTTATTCATTACATATATAAACATAATTTATTATACATATTTGTGGGGTACAGAGTTGAAGATTGATACCTGTGTACAATATGTGATCAAATCAGGATAATTAGTATATACATCATTACACAGTGTAATCATTCTTTGTGACCCTTTATCAATTTCTTGCTTCCTTCTTTCCTCATCTCCCTTTCTCACCTCTGGTACCCTCAGTTCTCTTCTCTCATTTTGAAAGATCAGTGTATCATTGTGATCGTTCTTCCTTCCTTCCTTCCTTCCTTCCTTCCTTCCTTCCTTCCTTCCTTCCTCTCTTTCTTTCATTATTTGTTCATTTTTTTTACCTCCCCAAGTGGAGTGATAGGGATTGGGTTGAATGTGTAGATTGCTTTGGGTAATAAGGACATCTTGGTGATATTAATTTTTCTGACCCATGAGCATGGGCTATCTTTCCACTTATTTCTGCCCTCTTCAATTTTTGTCAACATTTTGTAGTTCTCATTGTAGAGGTCTTTCATCTTCTTGGTTAAATTTACTTGTAGGCATTTCATTTTTTTGGATAACTATTGTGAATGAGATAGCTTTCTTGATTTCTTCTTCCACTATTTCATTGTTGGCATATAGGATGCCTGTTGATTTTTGTGTGTTGATTTTGTATCCTGCCTCTATACTGAATTCATTTATTAGTTTTAGTAATTTTTTGGTGTGGTCTTTAACGTTTTCTATGAATAGTATCATGTCATCTGCAAATAGGAATAGTTTGACTTCCTCCTTTCTGATTTGAATGCCTTTATTGCTTTTCTTGCCTTATTGTGCTGGCTAGCACTTCCGGTATTATGTTGAATAAAAGTGGAGAAAGTGGGCATCCTTGTCTTGTTCAAAATCTTAGAGGAAAAACCTCCAATTTTTGTATGTTCAGTTTAATACTAGCTGTGGGTTTGTCATATATCGCCTTTACTATGTTGGGATAGGTTCCTTCTGTACCTAATTTGTTGAGCATTTTTATCATGAAGGGGTGTTGGATTTTATCAAATGGCTAAGCATCCCTTTTAGGCAGGGCACTGTGGAAGTTACAATGTTAAATAGACATCTGCATTGCCCTGCAGGATCTGCAAACTTGAGGGAAAATGCACCTAAATATCCATTGATAAATGATTGGATAAAGAAAATGTGGTATATATACACAATGGAATATTACTCAATCATAAAAAAGAATGAAATTCTGCCATTCACAGCAACATGGATGAGCTTGGAGAAAATTATGTTAAGTAAAATGAGCCAGGTACAGAAAGAGAAATGCCACAGGTCCTCACTCATAAGTGGAAATTAAAAAAGAAAGATAGAAAGAAACAAAGAAAAGGGAGAAAGAGAAAGGAAACAACAACAATAAGTTGAACTTTCAGAAGGAGAGAGCAGAACCTGGTTACTAAAGGTAGGAAAGGGAGAGGAGGAGGGGGGATAGTGAGAGGTTGGTTAATGGACAGAAAACATCTAGATAGGGAAATTAAGTTCTGTGGGTGTACAGTTGAGCTAAGCATCTATAATTAACAATAATTTACTCCATGTTATCCAATGGCTAAAAGAGAGGAAATTGAATGTCCTCATCATAAAGAAATGATTAAGTTTTGCAATGATAAATGTGCTAATTACCCTGATTTGATCATCACACATTTTATACATGCATTGATATTTGATTCTGTACCCCACAAATATGCATAATCAATAGGTCTCAATTAAAAAGAGAGAGAGAAAAAACATTGGCATCCATGCTTCTTTCAGGGACTGGACTTCAGCTTTCCTAAAGAATAACAATGTTTATAATTCATCAGTGCAACTACTTACTGAGCATCTACTGTGTGTCAGCTATTGTTGTAAGCATGGTGAGGGTACAGCCACATGGTACACGTGATCAGGAAGCTGAAAGGATTCTTATCAGGCTGTTTTTCATCTAATTAGTCAACCATCCACACCAGGTAGCTAGGAGGAGGAGTTGAGATTATATCCAGGTGAAAACTGAGTCTCTGCTGTCTGACTGCATTTTGAGTACTGCTTCAAAAGTAGAGAGAAGCAGCATGTACTGAGAAGTCGGTTCTTGAGAATGGTGCTAACTTGACAGAATTGAATTTAACAGGGACACAGTAACAGCTAATTAAACCTCATTTGGGTATGAGGATTCCCACATAAATAAATTTATCAGATAACTGATGCTCGTTTATTTAAAGGCAAATATTAAAAAAAATTGTTTTTAAACAGATGACTGGTAAGGGGATCTTAACCCTTGGCTTGGTGTTGTCAGCACCACACTCTCCCAAGTGAGCAACCGGCCATCCCTATATAGGGATCCAAACCTGTGGCCTTGGTGTTATCAGCACCACACTCTCCCAAGTGAGCTAACCGGCCATCCCTATATAGGGATCCAAACCTGTGGCCTTGGCGTTATCAGCACCACATTCTCCCAAGCGAGCCAAGGGCTGGCCCTCAAAAAATTTAATAATATATTTTATGTAACCTCATATAACCAAAATATCATTCCAACATGTAATCAGTATGAAATTTATTAATGAGATATTTTACATTCTTGTTTTTTTAATTGTACCAAAATTTTGAAGTCTGGTGTGTATTTTATACATGCAGAATCTCTCAACTTGGCCTGCATTGTGATGAGAACATTTGGTCTTGTCTCTTCAAGCCATGTGAGAACAAATAATAAATTATTAATTATAGATGCCTAGCACTACTATACACCTCCAGAACATATTTTTCATATCTTGCTGTAATTTTGTGTCCATTAACTCACCTCTGGGGAAGAGTCTTGAATGCCAGTTTGCGGAGTTGGTACCTAGTAGGTGAAAGAGGTGAAGAGTTTTGGACAGGAGGGTAAAGTGGTTGTAACTGTCTTCCAGGAAGCTAAATCCAGGAAGGCACAAGAGCTGGATTGGAGCTGAGTGGAGCAGCTGTGATCACATCCAAGAACACAGAGAGCAAGAAATGGACAAAGGACGATTTCATAGAAGAAGCTGCAGAGAGATCAGGAGGAGCCAGAACTGAAGTCCTCAACCACAGGCACTGTTAGTGCTGGTGCCACAAGATTACTTCAAAAGGCAGCAGTGGTCAGAAAGCAGAGGGACATCTCAGAAGAGTGCTCACAGTCAAGTTCAGACCCTATAGACACGGTAACAGGCATTGGTGCCTACCTTTCTCCTCCCCACGATGCTTTCAGTATCTGGCAAATACTGTTGCGACAAACACAGTTAGCATGTCAGGAATGTGAATGGGACAGGTGTTTTTGCTTGCTTTCCAATTCTTTCCAAGACAGCCATTCTACAAAGTGATGGTTGCTTCAACACATGATAAAATCAATATTGTGATTCCTCTTATGGGAAACCAGGCAGGGGCACCATGGTAAGGCCTCTCACAGCGACCAGATCTACATGCCAGTCATGCAGAAGTTGCCTTGTTGTAAACGCACCTCAGGGGTCACTGTCAGATGCCAGTGTCCTGACTCTGCAGCTGTAATCAAATGCAGGGGCTGCCTGCGCTCCAGGGCCAAATACTGTAGTGTGTCACTCTTACCGTCACATGTGCTAAGAATAAGAGGAGAAAGAACGTTCTTTGTTAATATATTCGCCATGTAGGGAAGAGTGTAAGAACGGGAGGAACTGTCTGTTTGGAGCCGGCAGCCTGGACTGAGGGAGGCCCCAGCTCTTCCTGAAAGGGGCCATTCTCAAACTTGCTTTTAGAGGCCAAAGCTCTTTAATATCAGATGGTGATGCTCCTAAGGGGACTGAAAAATGATGTCTAGGCAGGGCTGGAGACATCATTTGTGGGACCCAGTGCAAAGCGAAGTTGTGGGGCCTTTGTTAAAAATTATTAAGACTTTCAAGACATTAAGAGCAGAGCATGAAACCAAGAGCCCTCTTGGGTGTGGGGCCCTGTGTGATGCTCATGAAGCCAGTCCTGGGTGTAGGAGACCTGTAAAATTGGGGAGCAATTATGCTACTAAATATGCCTTAATGTATCCACAGAGTAGAAAGAAGACTTCTCCACCATTCCTGAAGCCATTTTAAATAAGGCATTGATCATGTAGGCTTTCTAAATAGGGATTCCCCCACCCCCCCCCAATTTTTTAATGCAGAAAATTTCAAACATACAAAAGCAGACAGAATCCTCATGTACCTGTCATAGAGCTTCCACAATTACGCAGACATGACCAATCTTATCTCTATCCCCCCCTCACTGTTCTAACCTCTGCAAAATTTGCTGAGGGTTTTTTTTTTTTAAAGACTTTCTTTCCCACTAAAACCACCAGGAAACTTGCATAATATTTTTATTGCCTATAATTTGTTTTTAATTATAGATTACCACATAAACCCAAGAGAAGGGAGGAGTAGTAGGGAATAGAAGACTCAGAAGCAATGTTTCACAGAGTATAGGATGAGGGGTAAATTTGCATGAGCACTGCTGTGGGGCTCAGGGTAAAACTCACTCAGGGTGTTCTGACATTCACCTCAGTATTTCTTTGTGGGAAGATTTAGAGTGGTTGTCATCAAGGTCCAGAGTTTCATAGTCAGTGAGGTCTTCATAAGGATCCTGAGCCATCAGGGTCCTCGCAGTCTTTTGCAGAAATTCCAAGTAAAGATCTCCAAGATCAGGGCTTTCCCAGCTAAGCTTCCTTGGCTTCATGTGCCTGCCAATAGTACAGCATGCAAACAGCTGGTTAGACACTCCTGCACGGTGCTTTTGGGACAACATGTTCTCCATTGTTATCTTTCATAAACCCTGAAAAGGAAAGACCTACTCAAAGGAGGGAAAATCTTCTGCTCCGCCATCCACATAGATTGTCTCTCTGATGAATGATGTCAGAGATAGGACGAGTGATTCTATCTTTACTGGGAATTGTGGGAGTAAAGGGACAGAGCAATTTCTACCTTTCACGTGACCAGCTGAGCACAACCGTGGCTCCACCAGTGGGTGCTGGGCTCGTGCTGGTGTAGGAGAGCCAGTTGTTGGGGGTTCAGGAAGTTCATGAGCTGCTTGTTGAGCACAAGTGATTATTAAAAATGAACTTACAGAAGCTGACAAATTATATCAGGAACAAGGATAATCAATACTCAAGACCCCATCCCTTATTAATGATTCACTACGTTTTCCTACCGCCTGGGCTCTCGAGCTTCCTTAGTTCCACTGCGTCTGTGGCTGGAAGTTCTACAGAAGCCTGCGCTGCTGCTCTTCTCAACGCCCCTGTTCAGTCATGGCAGGGTGGCACCTTGGAGTTGCCATCCACCCATGGAAATCTGCAAATGCTACAAATCAGGACTCTCCCCACCCTCCCTCACCCCACAAGCCAGTTGTTAAACATTCACCAGCACACATCTGGGTTAAACCAATGTACTTGTAACCTGGGAAAAGTTGACATCCAACTTCATCTCAGGACACTTAAGCCTTCCAAACCCTTCAGCACAGGAGCTCCTGTCTGATAAGATAATGAATCCACCAGTCACCTCTGTCACTTTAGCCAGACTGTTTTCTCACCAATAAAACGGCGATATTGACAACTACCACAGAGGCTGCTGTGTGAGAAGAAAATGGAATGATACCGGTCAAGTGCTTTGCCTACAGCAAGCTCTCCGTCAATGCCACGTTGTTTTTCGTGGGGTAGGTGACACAACCCTCTGACTTAAGAGCTGGGCTGGGGAATAATTATACCTCTGCAGAGTAAGTCTCCATTTCTGTGGGTTTCCAGTTTTTAAGCTCAGTGAGAAGGTGCAGAAAGGGAGGGAGTCCATGGATTCCTGGAGTTCCATGTTTGAGCAAGAGAGGACCCAGGTTCTTAAAACTAATACTGGAATTCTGCTGTGGTGAAAGCCAGAGAAGGAATGATAATTTGCACTAATGAGAGGCACCGATGTGCACAATCTTTTGTCCTCACTGATTACTGATAAAAGTTATCAATTACCTTTATACGAGCATCTGCAGCCCCTGGAAGCCCTGCAGTTCTGCCATCTTAGTGCCCAGCGTAGCTCTTGCCCTGAAATGCTTCCTGAAATGGATGTCCAGGGCTGTGCCATCACTGGGTGCATCCACAGCCAATCCTGTTCCCATTCTCCTGGGAGTCTGCCAGGGAGTCAGGCCACCTTGCAGTTGAAGGTAGGGAGGACAATTAGCAAACAGCACACAAACTAATATCCCAGGAAGTTCCCACAGTACATAACTGTTCTTTACTCCATACAACAGAGAAGAGGATTGTAGAGGAGTTTTATGGAGCCACACAGGACTGACTGGGAGGATTCCCAAGCTATTTGGTTGCCTGTACTCAGGAATGGGGGAAGGTGTGAGGGGGAGATTTCAGGACATCAGCGAGGCATCTTGGCTGGGTCAGGTATGTGGGAGTTGCAATGAGGACTGTGGGCCATATGGAGCAGACCTGGGGAGACACTGTGGCTGGGATCAGAGTTGAATGAGGAGCTCATTGCTTAAGGAGGCTCATGTGTTGTGTGGGCTGAGACTGCATCAGCCTGGGAAGAACTGAATTACTGCCTCCTCCTCATTCCCATCAGCGCTTCCTTAATCTTTAAAAAAATGCACACCAGTTTTCAGCAAATATGTAAAATCTTTTTACAAACCCTGTAAACCTCCTTGATGTTGCTGACACGTGTTTGACTGCTTTCTGATGTCCTCATGTGCTGAGAGGATTTTGTCAAGCCTTACTCTGTGCAGTTTGCACTAAGAAAGCAATCAGGTTTTATCTTCTTTTGTCAAGTGTATTATATTAACTACACTAATGTATTTATTAAAATGATATGTGCTTCCCCACCCCAAGATTCTGAATTCTGATGTCTGCCCCCACCCCCAACTCATGCACAATACACAGTGTTGAGCTCATCAGCATCCCTGCAGGCTAAAATGAGTCTTGTCTGTCTTTTCCACTGCAGGAAGGACAGTGAACAGGAGCAAAGGTCAATCTCTGGCCTTGGGGAGGTTGGACAACTGGGCCCTCTGCCAGGGGGATCCAAGAGAAGGTCCGGGGAGTGGAGAGCAGAGAATGCTCTACAGCTGGGCTAAGTAGCAGTGCTCACTCCTCTCTTCCAATCCAGAGCATTCCAGGATTAGAGGTAAATTGGAGTCTCATTGCAACCATTTAGTAAAATAGTGATTTTAGAAAACTATTTCTGCTGAGTTGTGTCCATTCTTGTTCATGATGTGGGGCTGGTGGAAGGGACCTTCTGTGTCTGAGGGAGGCACAGGTGACATCTCTGGTAGCAAGTATCTTATCCTCTGGTCTTTTGTTACCAATTTGGAGGCTGTTGGGACCCATCAAGACTTGGGTTCCACTATCAGAGAGACAGAGTCAGTGCAGTCTGCAGAGCTGGATGTGAATCCACCAGTCACCTCTGTCACTTTAGCCAGACTGTTTTCTCACCAATAAAACGGCGATATTGACAACTACCACAGAGGCTGCTGTGTGAGAAGAAAATGGAATGATACCGGTCAAGTGCTTTGCCTACAGCAAGCTCTCCGTCAATGCCACGTTGTTTTTCGTGGGGTAGGTGACACAACCCTCTGACTTAAGAGCTGGGCTGGGGAATAATTATACCTCTGCAGAGTAAGTCTCCATTTCTGTGGGTTTCCAGTTTTTAAGCTCAGTGAGAAGGTGCAGAAAGGGAGGGAGTCCATGGATTCCTGGAGTTCCATGTTTGAGCAAGAGAGGACCCAGGTTCTGGGTGTGCCTAGGGCTGCAGAGTAGCCTGAAGCCACAGCTACCAAACGTTTTCTTGAGACCAGAATTTTAAAATCCTATTTTTCAAGTGTATAAACAAATAGGAATTTCTGTCCAGCCTGGAAGATAGACCCAAATCTGCTACTTTGGGTTAAGTGCTTTATTTAACAACAATCTAGGCACGTATCCATTCCCATGGAATCAGGAGATTTACCAGCACCACACTCTCCCGAGTGAGCCACAGGCCGGCCCAGGAATCAGGAGATTTAAATGTCTGGACTCTCATCACAATCAGGGCCGTAGTCTCCTTGAGCATGAAGATCATGGCATAGTTGTCTCCCCTCTCCAGGTTCATCAGCTCACCTGGTCTCACCAGCCCTTTGGCTGAGTAATGCAGACATGATTCCCCCATTTAAAAGCTAGGAACAATGAGACGGAAAGAAGCCATGAAAGTACATGGCTTGCTCACTAGGGCCAGTGGAGGGGAGCAGAGCCAGTGACCCAGGTAGGACCTCCAGGGCTCCCCAGGCCCTCTGCTCACTGCCTCCTGCAGAAGCGCAGTCCTTGCCCTGGGCTCCCATTGGCTGCTCCTCCCAGCCTGGGGTTATAAAGCCTGGATTTCCAGGGCTGGCTGCTGCAGCTCTGTCCTGCCTCCTGCTGCTGCCTGGTCCTGGGGTCTCACGAGATGGGGAAGCACCTGCTGCTGCTGCTGGGCCTCTCCTTGCTGATGGGCTTCCTGCAAGGTAAGCCCCTGGGGACAGTGGGGACTGGTCTAGGTGAACAGACCCACCCTGGAGGCTGTAGATTCCTGGGCCATGGGGAGGTGAGGAGCCAGGGGCAGGGACCTCAGCTTCCCTCTAGAGGTGACGGCCACAGCCCACCTGCCCCACGCTCCTCT